TGGAATTTCTCTTTCTTTCACCACCTTGCAAGAAGAATACCACACTTGTTGACTCTGTCCAACACCCCATCATCTTTTCCCAGCTACAAAAGGATGGAAAAATAGGTTATGTTATCATCACTTGGATTAACTTCTAATTGGAATTTCTTAACGAGCTTAGAAAAAAAAAAAAGAAGAAGAATAACGTGTTAAAAATGATTCTCCACTTGAGATCTTTGTTGACATACTATTATATTTAAATTTATTCTGGACGTGAGCTCAATAAATTAAATGCAAGGCTTGAGAGAAATCCAACAAATTTTTGAAATAGGCTTGTAGGTTAATTTCATTTAAAAACTCATTGGACTAGGTCCACTCTAAAAAAGACCATCTGTCAACGTACAAGGTCCAACCTGCAAATAAAGCCTAAGCGTGTGTATAAAAGAGTAAAAGACCCAGTCAGTGACCTTAAGTAAGATCACTGAAATGTCCTTTAAAAACCAGAGGAAAATGGACTTTAAAACTAGATTAAACGTGAAAATCTCATATGAAAAAAAAGGCAGATGACTAGTAACAAGTAATGTCCATGTACTTAAAAAAAATAACAAACTCCTAGTAACAATAAAGCACAACTCGGACAGCTAAGAGAAACATGAGAATTGGGGTACGAAAATAATAGAGTAAAACATTGCAGCATAAAAAGGAAAACAAGAATGTATATTGTAGTGCAAGATATGAATGACATGAAGCACTACAACCTGTAGTGGACAAAATGACCTATTATATTATTAACCATAAAGGGGTAGCGTAACGGCAAGAACTTGGTACAAATGGGTTTGTTCTTCTTATGGTATCGGGTTCGAGTCCCGATTGTTTCATTTGGTGATCACTGGAGGCTTACATGATCGTTAACTTCGGGACCCGTGAGATTAGTCGAAATGCGCATAAACTAGCTCGGACACCGACATTATAAAAAAAAAGAAGAAAAAAAGACCTATTATTGGACTTCATGTAGTAACAAGGAGTCTATAAATATCAACTGAAGCCAAAGAGAACCACACATTGTTACCAAACACAAGCATATTCCTGTAAATTTACAAATAGCTCAAGGAATATTATCACAAGTTTTACCTTTGAAATTTGTTAGATAATAGCTCATAGTTAGTTTATGAATACTCGATAATTTTTTAAATTTGTATGGAGTGCTAATTTATGAATACTCAATAATTTTTATTTACTGTAAGTTTATTTAATTTAACATTGTAAAAATTGTAGTTCTATTTTTAATCTATAAAGATTTCTAGTTTATTCAAGTTTTTATTGATATTACGTACTTTTGATTTTAATGTTTAATGGCTTGAATTCTAAGTTTTGCAGTTTAATATTGTTATTTAAATTACATATTGAATTAAGAAGCTGAACTTTATATCAATTCATATTTTATTTCAACTTTTCTTTGTGATGGGTTTTCAAAGTTATTGGAGCTCGTTTTAGTTTCTTTACGACTTTAAGATCCAAAAAATGAAAAACAGTCATTGTAGTTTATATTTATAAAGTCTATTTGGTTTATTTATCAACAAAAATAGGAAATTGACACTCTTACAAAAGGCATTCCAATTCTATTTTGATTCTTTTGTTTGAAAATTCTTTTAATCGAAGGCAGCAAAAGAAAAAAAAAAAAAAAAAACGCAATACATAGTTCCACTGATCATCCCCACTTTGAAATCGGGACTAAATTTAAATTCTCTCTTTTTTTCAAAGTCCAAAATTTGGAGAGCAAAATAAGAAACACAAATAATAAGAAAATTCAAAGAGGTACTCCCGAGTCACGAGAGTAAAATTCAAAAAGAGAGCTTTCCTTTTCTTCCTCTTCTTTATTTTTTTTCAAAAAAGAGGAAACAGGGGGAAGATTCCCATGACCCCATGTCACCTCTTTTTACAAGTTGATATTAGCCAATCAAACTTCGTTAGCAACACCTCTTGGCTTCTATCATATTTCGAGTACTTATGCTCGGGAATGAGGAATAACAAGTCTGCCACTCGGGTTGACTTTGCCCTTGCGTAGAATTATGGAAATCAATAATCATGCCCAGAACTGCCTGTTACGTGATACATGATGATACTATCAGAGTCAAAAACTTATTTGGTTTTGTTTCTTTTACAAGTAAAATAGTTGTGAAAGTTATGTTAGTCATTACCCTTTACTTTCTTTTTCTTTAATTAAAAAAAAGATTATCTTTTTTTTTGTTGAAGAAAATTAAAACCAGAAACCGTGAATAAAATACTCCTTTACTAATAACGTCACATCCCAATTCGAGATATTGCTGTTTTGGCAGCGTTTGCCTTTATCCATGAACTGATGTCGCTAGAAATTTTGGTATAAGACCACAATCCGGCCGTCAAAGTCTACAATCTTCCATTGCGAGAGAAAGTAATACTATGTACTAATTAAATTGCAGTTCAATGGATACAGGACAGGTGGCTAACCATGAAGCCCTTGGACTGCAGAGAATGATCCACGTTTGTTAGTGTTAAATCGTCAAACTGCAAATAAAAGGTGATTTTATTAGCTGCAAAACCAACTTGTTTCATGGTCCACCTTAGCTAAGCTTTCATTTCATACCTTTTATCACCTGGCCGGTTTCTTCATCGCTTACGTGGATATCCACTACCTGAATTGTCTGCTGATGTCAACATCCATTTCTCGTGAGTTCAGAAATGGTTGACGAGGTGGATTTTTTTATGACCGAAAAAATCATAACCGGAGATGCTAGATGATAATCCAATTATTTGAGATATTTGTAAAATAAGGTTTCTTTTTTAGATTAAAAGACTTTTTGATGATTAAAAGACTTTTTGATAATTAAATTAGTATAATGATCAATTTTTTTTATTGCTAACAACTTCGACATTAATTTAGGAGACAAAAATCCTTATAGTCAACAAATTAATATTTGACGATTTTTATTACATCATGGTTTATGTCTATTGCATAAAAATAATCTAAAAAATATATTTTCATTAAATGAAGTACTATAGAAAATTTGTTATTAAAGTACCAAAATTCCTAAAAAGACAATAAATAGAAAATTGTAGAAAAAAGGATTCAAAACCTGGAGTTACTGAAAATGAAGTGAATGTTCATAGACCACAACTCAGAACACAAACTTAGCTTAAAAACAGTTAGAGAAATTAAAATCACATAAAATCCTTCAAAATCCTAAATAGTAATGAAAATAAAGAAACTTTTTTAAAAAATACAAATAATAATTATTATCAAAAAATAATAAATTAAAAACTTTAACTTATTTGATTAAGTAGATTTTGATTGAACTTAAATTTTTAATATGAGATTATTTAGGTTATGAAACAAACTTTTTATATTAGCTATTACAACTTAATGTTTTAAATTACTTAAATAGATTATCAAATATCTCCCAAGTAAAAAAATAAAAATAATAAGTCTGAATACACATAAACAATAGGATTTTGTTAACAATCTTATACTGTAGATTATATATTAAATTTCTTACGAGTCTCAAAACTCTTGATAGATCAGAAGTTAAATCTATTTGAAATGAAGGTATTCATTCATTCATTTTTATTTTTATGTGTCAATTTCTTAGAGTTTTACCTATCAATTTGTTATGTCCCCAATTTTGTGCAAAATATTCAAGTTATTGAATATTTCAATTATGCGATTACGCATATCAAAGTTCGCGCACAATTCATAACTGGAATTCAGTAAATGAAAATTTTGAACCTTCAAATTTAGAAGGCTGCAAGCAATTTCCACGTGGAAATATGGAACTCGTTTGGTGCACCGACCGGCTTTAATTTCCTAAAAACCAAAAATGAGGATTTTTTTTTTGATGAAATAGAAAGGACGTCTCAGGCCGGTGTGGCCTGGTGGATGCCCACGCGTAAATGGATGCCGTGCGTATTTTAAACGTGCTGTCGTTTTCGACTGGGCTACTGCCTAGTGGCCTGTCATTTTTTGGTGTCCTGTTCAGGTGGAGGAAAATAACAGTGTCCACTGTTAGGAATTAACATATATTTATTATGCAAAATAGCAGTTGCCAACCTCAATAGCACTGTGAAATGAATGTTCATATTAAAAATTAATAATCATGGCATGGGACATTAAGCCTAAATCCTAATACAAACAATATATGATTTAAAAAACTATTTGACGAGTTAGTGACTATGACTTTAGCAACTTATACTTACTTTGGATGTTGATTGTGGTTATCTTTGTGTCCAAGTAATGTTTGGTTAGGTATGATTTGATGAATTTATCTGACCTAGATTAAATTTAGAACAGATAGCAGGAATTGACATTGATTTATTTGTAATAAGTTAATTAAACAGAAACGCCACTGTCTATCATTCTAGAGACATCATTAATCACTAATCCTTTTCAATCTAACTTCAAATATAAAATTAGCTAACTACAACTGAGATTTGACGTAATTGAGTATTAGATAAGCGTTTAATTTAATTGTCTGTGACTTCTTTTTCATAAAAGAAATTTTGGATTTAAACCTCTTCGTTGTAAACAAAAAGGGAAAAATAATTAATTAATTATAGCATGAGAGGGATTAAACTTTAAGGCTACTAATGTATTAACTGCGTCAGATTAATTCAAACTCACCATGCAAACAATAATTTAAATGCTGATTAATGACTTTTAAAGCAGCCAATAATAGTAAAGCCAGACCTTCCGGTTTCTACATATAAGGACGGATAAAGCTCAAATGGCCTGTGGTCCTGCAAGGCTTAGTTGCCTGTAAAAAGATTGCGCATTGCTATGAGGAATCAAATCGTAGATTTCATCTTTACCACTCAGACTCCGTAAACCCCTACCCTTTTTCTTTCTGACATATCTTCTTTTCGAAACCAAACAAATTGACATAAAAACACACAAAATTATAACAAAATCCATAGTTCGAAAACCTTTTCACTCTTGCTAAAAACAGAGAGCTCCTCTGTTTCAGAAAGGCCAACTCTCCCCCTCTATCATGTCCCAAAAGATCGTACTTCTATTGTTTCTCCTGCTCCTTATAAACCCAGTGTTTTCTCAGCTAGATGATCTCTACTTCCCAGGCTTCCAACATGCTACCAGTAACATGAGCCTAAACGGTGCTGCTGTGATTGAAAAAAATGGCGTACTTCGGTTAACAAACAACACTCCCCGCATAATAGGCCATGCATTTTACTCATCTCCAATCAAATTCAAGAACTCTAGTAATGGCAAAAGCTTCTCCTTCTCAACAGCCTTTGCTTTTGCTATAGTTCGTGAGAATCCAAAGATAAGTACTCACGGTTTTGCTTTCACTATATCTACATCAAAAGAGCTCCCAGGCGCTTTTCCAAACCAGTATCTAGGTCTCCTCAATGCAACCGATAGTGGATACCTCTCAAATCATCTCTTTGCAGTTGAGTTTGACACATTTAAAGACTATGACTTGCATGATATAAATGATAACCATGTTGGCATTGATATCAATAGCATGATATCAAACAAATCTGTTCCTGCTGCAGACTTCATCGATAATTCAACAAAGAAATATTTGAATCTTGCTAGTGGTAGGCCTATTCAAGCATGGGTTGATTATGATTCGATCAAGAATCTAGTAGAAGTAAGGCTTTCATCTTCTTTTAAAAGACCGGTTTTTCCAATCTTATCTTTTGAGGTAGATCTTTCTCCTATTGTCAAAGATTATATGTATGTTGGGTTCTCTTCATCAACTGGCTTGCTCACAAGCAGACACTATATTCTTGGATGGAGTTTCAGCATGAAAGGAGAGGCTAAATCTTTATCTCTAAATTCTCTTCCTTCTCTTCCGGGGCATAAAAAGAATCACACAGGATTGGTTGTATGTGTCTCAATTTTAGCTGCTTTTGTCATAATCCTGATCATGGCTGTGACATTTTACCTTTATAGGAAGAAAAAAATGCAGATGTCACAGAGGCATGGGAGCTTGGTATTGGTCCTCACAGATTCTCTTACAAAGAACTCAAGAAAGCAACGAAGAATTTTAGAGACAGAGAGTTGCTTGGATTTGGTGGATTTGGCAAAGTTTACAAAGGAACTCTGACGAATTCTAATACTGAAATCGCAGTTAAGCGAATCTGTGCCCAATCTAAACAAGGTTTGAGAGAATTTTTGACTGAGATTGAAAGCATCGGTCGGCTTCGCCATAGAAATTTGGTTCGGTTACTAGGATGGTGTCGGCAGCAAGGTGACTTACTAATTGTCTATGATTTCATGGCTAATGGGAGCTTGGACAAGTACTTATTTGGTGAGCCTAAAACAATTCTTAAATGGGAACAAAGGTTCAATATTATCAAAGGTGTTGCCTCAGGCCTTTTGTATTTACATGAAGGATGGGAACAGACTGTGATTCACAGGGACATAAAGGCAGGTAATGTGTTATTAGATTCTGAGCTAAATGGAAGACTTGGCGACTTCGGTCTTGCCAAGTTATATGAGCGTAACTCTGACCCCATCAGCACTAAAGTGGTGGGCACATTGGGTTACATAGCACCTGAGCTAACAAGAACAGGAAAGCCTACTACAAGTTCAGATGTGTTCGCCTTTGGTGCCCTTTTGCTCGAAGTAGTCTGTGGAAGGAAGCCAATTGAACCTAAAGCATTGCCTGAGGAGCTCATTTTGGTGGATTTGGTATCGGATAGGTGGAAGAGTGGTGCAATTCTTGATGTAGTGGATCCAAAATTGAATGGCGAGTTTGATGAGGTTGAGGCTGTTACTGTGTTGAAACTGGGGCTAATGTGTTCTAACAATGTGCCGAATGCGAGGCCTACGATGAGGCAGGTTGTAAGGTGTTTGGAGGGAGAAGTAGCATTGCCAGAGTTGGTTGCAGCGCCAGAGGATGCATATGATGTGAAAAATGTTAATGTAATTAAGGATAGTAATAGTAGTGAGTTAGAGGATCACCGGTATTCAGATCCAGTGTCATCAAATCTGGAGAAGGTCAGTACGTGGTCATTTGGTGGTGATTCTGGGGATACTGATATTGAAGCTGGGTTGGATTCAGCTCTTCCACTTTCTAGTGGAAGTGAATGCAGATAGCCAGAGCATTAAACCACTATGAGGTTTTCTTTTCCTTTGTAGGATTATGTTTTTTCCAGTTTTTTTTCCCTTTTTTTTTTATCAGATAGATAGAAGCTGATTTGATTAGATTTCAAAAGGGAATAATTTCTTCCTTGTTTTTGTTAGTTGTTTTCTTAGGCCCTAGGTTTACGATGTATCAAAGATAACGAGAAAGAGATTCCACCGACCCCGTTTAAAGTGTCCATTGATTTGTGTTTAGTCAAATTAAACTTCTTACAAATTCTGCAAGTGGGTTCAATCCTATTTATACATACGTTAACGCTATGATGATTCGTTGGGAGAATTGTTGAAAAATAAGGAGGGAAAAAAAAGAAAAAAAAAGAGGCATTATGAAGAAAAATTATGTTTACTCTTAAAAGTTACCAAAGTTTTGTGACGCACAGAAGCAACTGAACAAGCATGAAGATGGGGGCAGCTTGTCGTTTGTTTGTTTCGTTTGGCTGTAGGCTTACGATGATTGAGCTTTTTTTTTTTTTTTTTTTTTTTTTTTTTTTTTTTTTTGGTACCGGTAGATCTCCACTGAGATTTGTACTGCGTCCATATTCCATAAGACGATGGCCAGATGGCTCTCCCACATCTTTCCATTTTGTCCCATACTGGATAGGGTTTTGAACCCGACACTTATGGTGGAAAATCCCAAATCTTAATTGATCCACTTGTTGTTGGCCTAATCTTTTGCTTAGTGAATTATGATCTTATGTTCCAATTGGACTGGATGTTATAAACATGTTTTATTTAATAAAGTTTCAAAAGTTTATGGATTGGAAAAAAGATAATTTGTTAATCCATTCCAAATTGAAACCGTGGGGGAATTGAGACAGTCAAATTCTCAAGGGGAAAAATCAAACCTCAAAGGGTGGGGTTAAAATTAAGTTTAGATTTTGATATGTTGCATGTGTCTATTTCTTACCAAACACAACCATCTGTGTTTAAATGGAATTCTCAAACCCAAATTGCTAGGTTTATCCTAATTTATATAGACTATAATAAACATATGTATAAAATCCCAAATCTTGTCATGCATACAAGATTCTCCAATCTCCTTATCACGCTACTTATGTACACTTTTTTTTTTTATTAATGTTTTTTTCTTCTACTTTTGCAAAAATTAAAAATTAAAAAATATATATATCAACCATTCTAATAAAAAGTCAATCTTTAATTGGTGAATTTTTTTAATCGTAAATTGCACTAATCCAAAAAGGCTTTTTTTTTTTTTTTAATCTTTTTTCTTGCTTTACTTCATATCCTTTGGTTAGTCCATGATCGTCTTTTCTAACGCAATTCTGTAGATGAAGGGGCGTGATGGAGAAAGGCATGGTATGGAAGTCATGAATCATATGAGGGGAAAAAAATATGCAAGAACATGCTTTTGTTTCTCAAGTTTCTATAATCAGATATATTACCTTTTAATTCATTCCAATATTAATAGTTCAATTTTTTATATATATTATTTTAATACTTAAAATGTTAGAATATATCATCAACTTATAAATCTATAGGAATGAATGAAGCAAATATGTATTTTTTATTAAAAAAAAATTAATGCCAAGTGAATAGAAAGAAACTCAATAAGTATTGTATATTATAGGTATATGATCGTTAGTTTTCAATTTATTAAATTGCAATAGCATGAAATTAACCTTTAATCTATAAATAATAATTTAGAGAAAAATAAATAAACAGGTAGATTATAAAATTATTATAATAACCAACAACATAACTAATTTAAAATACAATTAATAACATATGTAAATTTTAAATTGTTTAAAATATTAGGAAGTTAAAAACTAGAAGTTGAATAAAAATATTGTTAAAAAAATTAAACAAAACCCAAAATGTTTGACTTAAGTGGAAAGAGTTCTACTTGTTTAAATAGATGGTCTTGGATTTGAGTCTTTATATTTATAAAAACCTCTCCGGGTTATGCACCCAATAGAACAATGAGAAATTAATCTAAGCATTTAGGTCTAGGATACCCTGGATAATCTAAAAAAAATTAAATAAATAATTGCAGAGTCATTATAATATAAATAACTTAACATAGCTCACGTGGACTAAAAAACTCTTGGTCTTATGATTAAATAAATCTGAAATTGTTTTCAACTATTTATATGAAGGTACTATTTTATTTACAATATGCCAAACTATAATTTTAGTGATATATATAACACATGGGTCATAGGTTAGTTTTAGCCTAAAAGTTGAGATTTTAAGATATGATTATATTATTTTTTAACATATTTTATTGAGTGAAAACCATTTAAACCTAAAATTTACATAGATCCACTTGCTATTTTATGTTTAACTTTTGGTTTAGTTAGAAGAATGGAGTGATAAGATTCGAAAGTATGACTATTTGATCATAAAAGCTTTAGTGCAACATAAAAAATCTTCTTAATCCAAAACTCGATACCATATAAAATAAAACTTTTAATTCAAAAAATTGAATTATTGGATGACACCTCAAGTAGGGATGGCAATGAACGAATATTTGGTTTATTAATTCAATTTTTTACTCTATCCATAAAAATAATACTCTATTCATTACTAATTAAAAAAAATACTTTATTCATTATTTATTAAAAAATCATTATATAAATCTTTATCTGGTCAATACTCGACCCACATCAATTTACTCGCTTATTTAAAACTCACTAAAAATAATTTGTTAAAAATATTTTATTTCAGTCCTTATAATTTCAAGAAAAGTTTTTTTATCCTTAAAATTTATTTATTTATTTTCCCTCTTGATCATTTCTTTGTAAGTTTTTTTGGTTCTCGAAGTTTTTGAAAAAAATATTTTGATCCTTAATTTTTAAAGTTTATGCAATTAGATCCATGCATGTTTGAAAAAAAAATCAAAATAAGTTAGTGGATAATTAATAAAATAAAGAGTAAGTACTCATATCCTAAAATTATATATATATATATATATATTATCATTATCCACTTTAATATCTATTGTATATTTTTAATAGATATTTATTAGGTCGACTAAAACGAGTATTCGCTTTATATCCGATTTATTGACATCTCTAATCTCAATATATAATTTGTATTATTCTCAAACACTTACAGAGTCACAAACTAAATAATTCACTAATAAATGAAAATATAAATTTTCTTATAACAGAACAATAATTATTGTTATTTTCATTCAGTCTTTTATTAATGCTAAACTTTCATGATAATACTAACACAGTAACACCCACTCACCAAAGCAACATATACATCAACAACAATATATTGCTTGACATATATATATAAACTAATGGTTGACTAGAGGTATTCTTATATATATATAAACTAATGGTTGACTAAAGGTATTCATTTGTTTTCTTACTGTTTCGATTCGGTTTTTTATTAATAAAATTTTAAAAATAAAAAGAAACGGAACCAAAATTCTATTCTGTTTTTTGGTCTAAACGGATTTTTTTTTAATTTTGACTTTTTAAAAATAAAAAGACTTTATATTGAGGGTATAGTTTCTGATGAAACAACCAGTCATTTATCTTCAGCTATTCATGTATCTTCTAGTCTCTTTCAAAGTTCCTCCTAATGCCCATAATATATATATTTTTTTTCAGAGAGAGTGTAGTTATTGAAGTTTGAGTTCGAATGTTTTTCGCGGCTTCTACTTATATTTATGTTTTATTCATATTTTCTTATAATGAATGCTTTGATCCATTTTCTTTTGTGAATATAAATACCATGTCAAACTACATTAAATCTTCGAATTTTTTATGCGCGTCAATTATTTATTTACTTTTCTAGTAATCCCTACCCTTCAATCACCTAAATCACAGCTCTAAGCATATCAAGATTGCCTTGACTCATGTTCTCATTTTCAAACCTATAATTATCATCTTATTGATTATGATTTTACGTCTAGTGCTATTCCAATGGGCCATTGCTGTTCTACAGAAACAGACAGCAGTAGACTTTTTTTTTCCTAAGAAAAACAGTAGACTCTTGACCTGTTACCTTGTTAAAGTGAATTAAAAAAAAAACCTTAAAACCATAATTTGAATAATCCACAATGATTAACATAATTAAAATTGGGCCAAGGATATAGGAAGGTTTTAAGTTCAAATCCTATCTTCAAATGATCTTCAAAAATTAGTTATGGTGAATCGAAAAAACTCATAAATATCCTACTATTTGTAAAAATATATATACAATAGTGATAATAATAATAATAATAATAATTAGAGTGGGTAAATAAAGCTGGACTGTCCTCATTTCCGACTGGTGGTATAAATCAACGACGGCCAGTAAATAGTAATGCGAAGTTGCCAACCATCACCATCTTCAATACAATGTGAACCGACACCAGAGTTCCACTTCACCAGCTGCTTTCTCGGAAATTCCTCCCCTCTTTTTCATTCCTTTCTCCATTTTGAAACCAAATGTCGACATAATATACTTATGTAACAAAAACCATACCTGAATTCTTGCAAAAAAACAGAGCATCCTCTGTTTTACAAAGGTCAACTTTCACTTTCCATCATGTCCCAAAATCTCAGACTTCTCTTGTTTCTCCTTTTCCTCGCAAACCAAAACCAAGTTCTCACACAGCTTGATGATCTCTACTTCCATGGATTCAATCATGTTAAAAACAACATGAGCCTAAATGGTGCTGCTGAGATTGAAAAGGATGGCTTTCTATGTTTAACAAACTATACTAAAAGCATACTAGGCCATGCTTTTTACTCATATCCAATCAAGTTCAAGAACTCTAGCAATGGAAAAGCATTCTCCTTCTCAACTGCCTTTGTTTTTGCTATGGTCCCTAAGTATCCAAATCTAGGTGGCCATGGCCTTGCTTTCACTCTCTCTACTTCGAAAGAGCTGCCTGGTGCTTTTTCAAGGCAGTATCTGGGACTCCTCAATAAAACTGTCAGTGGTAGCTTCTCGAATCACATTTTTGCAGTTGAATTTGATACTCATAGAGATTATGAATTTTTTGATATGAATGATAACCATGTTGGTGTTGATATCAACAGCATGAGATCAAACAAATCTGTTCCTGCTGCATATTTTCTTGATCATTCAGAAAAGAAAGATTTGAATCTCATTAGTGGTAAGCCCATTCAAGCATGGGTTGATTACGATTCAGTCCAGAATCTACTAGAGGTTAGGCTCTCACCTTCTGCCGCAAAACCGGTCTCTCCTATCTTGTCTGTTGATATAGATCTCTCTAATATTCTAAATGATTCTATGTATGTTGGTTTCTCTTCGTCAACTGGTTCGATTACAAGCAAACATTATATTCTTAGATGGAGTTTCAGAATAAATGGAGAGGCTAAATCTTTCAATCTTTCTTCTCTTCCTTCTCTTCTCGGGCCTAAAGATCTCTTGGTAATTGTTGTAAGCGTCTCATTTGCGTCTACTTTTGTCATAATCTTGGCTATTGCTATATCCTTTTATCTCTTTAGGAAGATTAAAGGTGCAGATATGATCGAGGGATGGGAGCTACAAGTTGGTCCTCACAGATTCTCTTATCAAGAACTCAAGAAAGCAACAAAGGGTTTTAGAGAAAAGGAACTTCTTGGCTTTGGTGGATTCGGTAAAGTTTACAAAGGAATTCTGAGGAATTCTAACACTCCAGTAGCAGTTAAGCGATTCTGTCATGAGTCTAAACAAGGTTTGAGGGAATTTTCAACTGAGATTGCTAGTATTGGTCGTCTACGCCACAAGAATTTAGTTTGTTTACTAGGATGGTCTCGCCGACGAGGTGACCTGCTGCTTGTCTACGATTTCATGCCTAATGGGAGCTTAGATAAGTACTTATTTGAGGAACCAAAAACTATCCTCAAATGGCCAGAAAGGTTCAAGATTGTCAAAGATGTTGCATCGGGCCTTCTGTATTTGCATGAAGAATGGGAGCAAACTGTGATTCACAGAGACATAAAGGCAGGGAATGTGTTGCTAGATTCAGAGCTAAATGGAAGACTTGGCGACTTTGGTCTTGCTAAGTTATACGATCGAGGCTCAAATCCCAACACCACTAAAGTGGTGGGCACATTGGGTTACTTGGCACCTGAGCTCACAAGAACAGGCAAACCTACAACAAGTTCAGATGTGTTTGCCTTCGGTGCACTTTTGCTTGAAGTCGTTTGTGGAAGGAGACCTATTGAGCCCAAGGCACTGCCTGAAGAGCTCATTTTGGTAGATTGGGTATGGGATAAGTGGAGAGGTGGGGCAATTCTTGATGTAGTGGACCAGAGATTGAATGGCGAGTTCGACGAGAATGAGGCTGCTCTTGTGCTTAAACTAGGGCTAATGTGTTCTAACAATGCCCCAAATGCAAGGCCTATAATGAGAAAGGTTGTGAGGTATTTGGCGGGAGAACTGGCATTGCCTGAGTTGGTTGCAGCGCCAGATGAATATGATGGGAAAAATGGTGATGTAGATAGTGATAGTGGTGATAAATGCAAGGATCATGTGTATCCATATCCAGTATCATCATATTTGGAGAAGGTCAGTGCATGATCATTCAACGGCGATTACGCAGATACTCACTCACATTGAGCTGGTTTGGGTTTAGCTCCTCCATTTTCTGATGGAAGGGAATGTAGGTAGTTTTCCCTTTTATCGACAAGGATTCTTAAATGCATGCAGGTTGTAAATTAATAAATTACAGACATGTAGATTCCCATTAGATGAGATTTCATAATAGAATATTTTTCCAGTCCTTTCGCTTTTAATTTTATACCCTGACGATGCATCGAATGTCAAGAAAATATACAAGACTCCCATGACCCCTTTTCATATGTTCACGCAAAACTTCACATAAGATTATAAATTCCTGCTAGTCAGCTTCAACCTTATTCTTACATACGTCTACAACATGATTTTTGTTTGAGTTCAGTTGAAAAGAAAAGGAAAAGCTGCATTATGCAGAAAACTGTGTTAAGTTTTGGAAGCCAGAAATTTGTGATGCAAAATACCAACTTGTACGACCATATGGTGATACAGAGAAGATGTATTGTTTAGTTTACCCACAAGTTTGCAGAATACAAGTGCTGTAGTTTAGCATTCTGAACTTGAAAAATATGTTTTGCAGTCAATGAGGAAATTGTGGGTCTAAGAACAAGAATAAACTATATTGTATACCAAAACATTAAGCACATCAGTATAATATATTTCTTGACAGAACAAAAAACAAGAAAAAGAAAAAAAATATAAAAAAGAAGTGGATTATGCCATTCTAGGGCCAAGCTAGAAAATATACTGAGATTGAACTATTATTTATTTCAAACATATCAAAAATAGATTTAAAAGTTATATATTAAGGATTAAGTTGTAAGTTTTACTATTATAAGGATCATTATGCATACAAAAGTTAAGACCTTTTTGAAACCAACACCAAAATTTAAGGGGTTCTTTTGAACTTTGGAGGTAGCCGCTTCCCTGCTTGCACCCCTGCATCTGCCCATGATGCCTTCAGATGCTGATTCCCATTACCTTTCTGTCAAAGTATTGTTTGGTATATTTTGCTGAAAACAGGAAATTATATCTATCTTAGGCTGATATTCCTCTTTACTAATTTTGCAAATTGTAATTATCTGGTTGGTAATGATATCGGTTTTCCAATCATTGTCTCCTATTCTACTGGACAAATACTGGAACCCACTGCCAATCAAGACTCATTAATAAGGATTAAGGACTTTGCTATTCAAATTAGTTTTGCTCTTCCAATCCGGTAATTAGTGAATTTTAAAGCATAAGATAGGAGTGAATTTTTAGATAGTACCTTGTGAAGTTAACTCAAAGCAACCTCTCTCTCTCTCTCTCTCTCTCTCTCTCTCTCTATTTTTAAATTTGTTCTTCATTTTGAAACCTCATGTCATCTCGTAAAATATGTAACACATAAATCATACCTCAAAACATCAGCATTCTCGCCGGGGAAAAAAAAAACAGAGATCAGAAAACTCAGCATCCCTCTGTTTCACAAAGACCAACTTTCACACTCTATTATGTCCTAAAGTCTTAAGCTCGCACTTCTCTTGCTTCTTCTATCTGTTTGAAATCCTATTTTAGCAAAGTCTTAAATTTGTTCTTCTTTTTGTGGGATCTTTGTTTTTACTTTTTTTATTTTATGTGATGAATCGTTATGGTAAAAGTGGTGCAATCTTGAGGTAGTGGACCCAAGATTTGACGAGTCCATAAGGAATTATCTCCCTATACTTTTACTTCCTCGTCTGATTTGCTAAAAAATTAAGGCTGCTATATTTCGCTCTCAACAAGCATTCAAGCAAGAAAGGCATTATCCTAATTGCCAGAATATTATATCTTTTATCACCTAGATAATATTACAATCTCTTCAGTAATTATCTATATTACGAAGAGTATCGATATCTTCGTTCAAAATATAGTAACGCCATGGCAAAGGGCTACCAGGAAGTTGGGTGAGGGCTCAGTTCTTCTACCATGAGGGAAATCTCTTCTTTTACTTCGTCCCATCAATAGAAAGGTGAAACGAGAATCGATTATAGTAAGATTTGATGGGTCTTTAATTTTATTCTTAAAAGTATTGCTGTAGGCAAAAAGTTCCTTAAAACATTTGCACCACCTACCAAGTACTGGTCACAAGACAATATAATATAGTGCGATAGGGATGTGATAAAAAGTTAATGCAGTGGTCAAAGCACCTGGCAACTTGATTGGATGAGTTTACCATCTTATAATAATAAGTGTAACAAACATAAAACGAAGGTTGACTTTGCAAGTGAAGCAAAATAGAGAGTGGCCGGCATCACGTTGCTTCCATGCAGCTGAGTCACGTTTAACACACAGAGAGACATTTTTCTTTGATTGCGCACGAATTCTACGGTGCAAACAGACGAGAAATCATGGAGGCCGTAGATAAGCTTAGAAATCAACCCTTTTTTCTATGATAGGAGGAGTAGTGCATACGTTACTACGTGGAATACCAAAATAAAGTATCCCTTAAAGGCAGTTTAGGTTAAACGGGAACCATCACAGATGCATGAATTAATCACATCTTCAATTCCCCATCACAAAAGCAAATAGCTAACCCTAATTTACCCTAATCACACTATAATAACAACCAGTACAAAACTAAAAAGTCAATAAACAAGCAAAGGATGGAAGTCACCTTCAATAACTGTTGTTAACAGTTCGATTTGTTTTTTTTTTTTTTTTTGCTTTATATGATATTTCAGATTCAAAAACTCAAACTAATATCTTGCTGTTTTACAAACATATAAAAACATAAATAATTATCTAAAGAGTTTTATATATATATAAAAATTTAAATTTAAAACTACTTATTTAAATGATCAAAGTCATTTTTACTCAAACCAATTCTCTTTAATCATAACTCGTTTTGCATGTTTCTCTATGCAATTCGTAAGTCAATGAAGCATTTTTTTTTTCAATAGCCAATGAAGCATTGTTGAAGGTTTTTGGCCTCTCGAAGTTGCTGGGAACATAGACACGCAATTCTCACTTGGACTGTTTTGATGGTAGTCTATTTTGTCCTTCACTAGTAGTACAGGAAAGAAGCGGACTCTAGGTTATCACAAAATAGATAAAATGACAGACCAAAAGAATATTGATTTGGAAAATGCTATATAAGAATCAATTGTGAAGAGGATTGAATTAAGGAAAGCGTGCGAAATAGCAGACATGATTTCTTAAACGGCAGTTCTTCTCCCAGCGCATGGTCAATTGTTGTGCCCCACATTAGAGGCGCACCCGCTATCTGACCACAAAAAGGTAGAACAAAGTCTGGCTAAAAAAAGAAAAAAGAAAAAAGAAAAAGAAAAGGAGAAATTGACATGGTCTTAATCCAATGAACACGAGTAACGATTTCTTGTGGTCTTTTCCCAGCATGGAGTGTCACTGTTGAAGTTACTTCCAAGTTCCACTGTACATGTAAAATCAGCATCAAACACGTCAATCATCCATTAAAATCTTCAGCATTTTGCAAAATTGGGCACCATAAATCCACTGTTTACGCAGGATCACATTCTCATTAAGTGAATCACGTAACTCTATAATTTGGGATAGACCACATTTGAACAAAAAGGTCAAGCATCCGAAGGAGCACAATAGAAACCCTCATAGTTTTCACATATTCTTCCTACTCTATCTAAATCTTCCTAAAACCAGAGTTGGTTTAATTCCATAATATTGAAGATTGATAAATACCAAAACCTTGGTCGAAAACCTTCACCGCTTATGTAATGAAAATAAAAAATAGATCATCTGGGACCAATGTTGTTTCTTCGAACTAATCTTTTAACTTCAAATGTAGAAGAAAAGTCAGGCTGGACGCTGTAACATAAGAGTTTCACCTTAATCTTAGAGGTTCAGCTCCAATCCCTCTCCAGTTCTTCAATAGCTATCTGTTAGGCATTCTCTGCTTCAGGAGGCCTCTTCGTACGTTCCAATGGTTGCAAACGTTGGTTGTAATGGATTCATAATGGAGAATGTAAAGGTTTACAACCACATGCAAGAAAGAAGTATTAACAAAAAAAATGTTCCTACTTACTCTTCAAATGTTCAGCGCATCTTATTTTGTTCTACAATCTCAGCCTTGACTAAATACGATCTTAATCAAGACTAAGAATTAGAACGTGTAAAATAAAATTCAAAATATAAGATTCAGTAAATAATGAATAAATAAATCGTGCTTTTCATACAATTCTTTTTTCTTCTCCATCATTTCATCTTCTCTAATCCAAGTGAAAGTCAAAAGTCCAATATCAACCGATACCATGAATCAGGGCTATAAAAATCCCATCACATGTTAGAACTTAATGCCCAAAATAGAAATGCTTGGCAGGAAAAGACAAATTATTCACAACTGAGTATTTACCTTTGCAGAAAAAGGTTTTTATTTATTTGTTCACCGTAAGACTTATTGGACCTTGGTTCCATAAAAGGAGGCAACCTCCTGTTTCTCCCGTTCTATCCCAAGTGTAAGTACGATTTGATCCCCGGTCACTTGGTATGATGCCAAGTGACTTGGCTTGGCTGAAACAAAACTAGCACTAAAAAGACATGTATGTTATTTGGATGTCACTTGTAAATTCCTATCTACTTTAGAGAGTAAAAACTGTAATCTCATTACACATACAGCTAGAGTTGTCTTGGTTCAAAACCATATCCTTTAAACATTTAAGAGATTAAATGTACAAGAGCATGCTTATGTATAAAACCATATCCATCCATCTATCAACTGAAATGCACTTTTCTCTGACACGAAAGCTACCTGGCTGCATTTACTAATAGAACAATACCCGATCATATCTTTTTTCTCTTTCATTCTAGTCAAGACCAGTCTTCCTGGTGATCAGTTGTGCACTTATGGAAGTCCTAATCCATTACATTTGGTAATTGTGTCTAACTTTAATCAGAGAGTCAAGTTAGATAATTATGATATCTCTCTATAGGGGATAGGCAACTCAGTGATTGTCCTAAATTCTCCAGGTAAGACCACGGTACCTTGGATGTTTTTC